GGGGCTTGGTGCGGCTTTTGGTGCGTGTGTGCCAGCCTCTCTTCCCAGCTCGTCTGTTCCGAGTGGCAGTTGAAAGCGACAGCCCCTAAAGTGGCTTTGAGTTACACTACTTTAAAATTAAAAATCATTACCACCGGCCAGTGGCACCTCCCGAGTGGGGTCCAGGGCACGTAATTCCAGGTCAGCAGTGGGCTCACTGCTGGACGCCGTGTCCTCGGGGGCTTCAAGGAGACCAGGGGCTGTGACCAGCTTTCTGACTTGGGGTCAGGCCTCTCAGGCCCTCCTTGTGTCCCTCCGGGGGAGGGTCTCTGTCCTACAGGGGCCCTGCTGTGGGGACAATGGGGAGGGCCCTGCACCTTGCCGAAGGAAGCCCTGCAGTGGGGACATCCGCAGACCCTGCCCGAGCCCCCACTGGAACTGACACACAGAATCGTTAGCAGCATTTATCTCTGAGACGCGGTTACAGGAGTTTTGTTTTACTTTCCAGGTTTCCAAAGTCTTACTGAAATGCATCCATTTTTTAGGTAGGGAAAACTCAAATGTGTAAAACAGCAAAGACAGCACTGCTGTGGTCTTGGTGTGCAGTCCAGGGTCCTCATCCTGGAACCCAGGCCCTGCCGGTGCCACCAGCTCGCTGGTGCAGGTTGCTCAGGTGACTGCTGAAGCATTGCTGGCTTCCAAATAAGTGCAGGACATGCAAACACACACAGTCTAAAACGTGTGGTCGGCATGGAGCAGCCTGTGGGGCCCAGGGAGCTGGCTTTGGAAAACGTTGAAGGAGCCGCGGGAATTCCATCTCTTCAGGAGCCAACACCTCTGAAATCGGAAAAGTAGAGATTGCAGCGCCCAGGTTGGGGTACTGAGGGCTGTGCTCATGAAGCGGAGAGAGTTCCGTGAAGGGATGACAGGAGGTCTCTGGGACAGCCCGGGAAGTGCTGGGGACTCACAGCCCAGCCTTTGGAAACTATCAGACCCTGGCTCCTGATGCCAGGTCTCCCCATGCAAGGGTCTCCATCCCCATGCTGGGATCTCCATCTCCATGCTGGGATCTCCATCTCCATGCTGGGGTCTCCATCTCCCATACTGGGGTCTCCATCTCCTATACTGGGTCTCCGTCTCCCATACTGGGGTCTCCGTCTCCCATGCTGGGGTCTCCGTCTCCCATTCTGGGGTCTCCATCTCCACACTGGGTCTCCGTCTCCACACTGGGGTCTCCATCTCCACACTGGGTCTCCATCTCCACACTGGGTCTCCATCTCCATCCTGGGGTCTCCATCTCCCATGCTGGGGTCTCCATCTCCATTCTGGGGTCTCCATCTCCATGCTGGGGTCTCCATCTCCCATGCTGGGGTCTCCATCTCCACACTGGGTCTCCATCTCCATGCTGAGGTCTCCATCTCCACACTGGGTCTCCATCTCCATTCTGGGTCTCCATGTCCATATGGGGTCTCCATGTCCATATGGGGGTCTCCATCTCCCATGCTGGGGTCTCCATCTCCCATGCTGGGGTCTCCATCTCCATACTGGGTCTCCATCTCCACACTGGGTCTCCATCTCCATACTAGGGTCTCCATGTCCATACGGGGGTCTCCATCTCCATTCTGGGGTCTCCATCTCCATACGGGTCTCCCATCTCCATGCTGGGGTCTCCATCACTGTGCCTGGGGTTCCCCATGCCCTGGGCTTTCACAGTGACCTGTTGGACAGCTTAGGCCAGCTCTGGAGCTGCCCAGGTGGGGCTTCTGTTCACCTTCCTCCCCCAGAAGCATCCAGCTGCATGTGGGACATTAGTAGGGACTGGTCTCTTCCTCTCTGGTCACTTCCTCAGGTCCAGCTGTGCCCAGCCACGCCAGGGTTGGTGGTCTTGGAAAGGCTTCAGTTTTGCTGTTTGCAGGGGCTCAGGCATCTGTCCAGGTGTCCACCTGAGCCCCTGCTTCTTCTTGGCCAGGGGCAGAGTGCTTTTCCCACATTACGGCCGATCCCACCCCCTCCCCTGACGCAGGGGGATGCCTGTCAGGTCTGCTGAGCCCTCGAGCTGCAGGTGGGCCGCCCTGCCAGTCACAGTGGGGTGAGCTCATGAACTTGGTGTCTCCATCACACCTTTCTCCCAAGGATTCCCAAGTTTGTAATCCCCGTCAAGCTGTACATTTTAGGGGAAATTCTAAATATTTTCCTGAATTCATTTCCTCTGCATAGTTAGAAAAAAGTCAAGCTATAAAAATTGGATCTTAATCTGTGCTTCCTGACTCAGAAACGGATACACTAATTTCATTAAAGCTTCCATAAAAAGTCACCTTCGGGAAGGACATGAACTGGAAAGTTCCAACCTCCAAGGGCAATAATGGCCCGAAAATTTGTTTGTAATGTTTGTGTTGGTGTTGACTTTCATGAATTTTTAAAAGGCAGTGGGCTTATTTAATTAATTTATTTGGTTTTTGCATAGACTGAGGGCTGGCGCTTCTAAGTTACAAACCGTCTGCTTGTGCCAAAGAGAGGGATTTTCCATTCTTGCAGATTTCACCGTTCGAAAGAGGGGAAATTGGGGGTCGATTAAAGAAAAGGGAGGGAGGGTGGGTGAGTGGAGAGCCTGAAGGACACTGAGAGGGGCCAGAGATGGGTTCCTTCCAGGACACGTAGCCCAGGACGTGAGGTCCCAGCAGCGGTCTGCACCGCGGCGTCGGCCCAGCTGGGAGACTCGCCGGGTCTGGCGTTCAAGCGCCCAGAGAGGGGACTCAGAGTGGAGATGACCAAGGGCCTGCGGTTCACCCAGGCCTGACGCGTGGCCTGCAGGCAGGGTTGTCGGGGGGATCAACAGAGGGAGGGGACAGTCTCAGCAGGCAAGAAGGGAAGGAAGAGCACGGTTCCAGCTTCCCATGAAAATCTGGAGATTTCCACGCTGAAAGGCCGCTGCTCCCCCTTCACTGTGCACCCTGGCCTGGATCTGGGCCTCTGTCCACTTGCACCCTCTGTGATGGGGTTGATCCTGGCCCCTGGCTCACCTGGGCTGGGCGGGCCTGCTTCACCTCCACCCAGTGGGGAGGTCCAGAAGCCCTCACGTCACGAGATGTGTCCGGGACCCCACACAGGATGCAGTGCTCCTTAGCAGGTTAGAGGTGAAATGCTCCTTGAGACTTAGCAACCCAGTAACCCAGGAGTGAAGTGTCTGCAATTATTGAGCTAAATTGTACCGGTTTTCAGCTTTCACTGAGGAGGTATCCTCCCCTGATGAGCCCTGTCATGGACAGAATGTCTGCATCCCCACAAAGGCATATGTTCAGCCCTACCCCCAGTGTGGCCGTGTTGGAGATGGGGCCTCAGAGGAGGTCATTAGGGTAGGAAGTGGTCACGAGGTGGGGCCCTGATCCCAGAGGGTTAGCGTCCACATAAGAGGAGGCACCAGAGGGTCCTCTCCTCTCCCGTCCCCTGCGGCCGAGGCCTCATGGGACAGAGTGAGGAGGTGGCTGTCCGTAAGCAGAAGAGCCCTCGCTGGAAGCTGAGCTTGGGCTCCTGGCCTCAGAGCTGTGAGGAAGTAAGGCTCTGCTGAGTGTGGGGTTTTGTCAAAGTGGCTGAGGCCCCTGTGAGGATGTGATGGGGAGGGAGGTTTGGGACCTGATTTTTCTCTCTTCACGTGGAGTGTTTGGTGGATTCCTTCCCGCCAGGGATTGGATTCGGGTCGTTGCTGCGTTTACTTTCCGCCCTTCAGCTGCCAGAGCCCCCTTCCCTCTATCACTGACACTTTCTGGAAGACAGCCTCCCCGGGGCATTTCCAGCAAAGATACACTTGTCTTGGATTGTGTCAGGGCCTTCAGGGGAGGGAGGTGGCCCTGCTGTGTGCACACCTGCCTCTTACCCTAGACCCCAGGCAGGCCCCTGCAGAGCCATCCTGCAGAAAGTTCACCCTGGATCGTTTTGTGTTGGTTTTATTTCCCCCATCATCTCTTAATTGCCTCTGAAAGGTGAGTCTGGCCCAGGGCAGGGGCAGGCTCTTGGTTCATTCACTCATTCGTTCACTTTCTCCTGGTACAACGTGCCCCCCCACCCCGCCCCAGGACACAGAAAACAACTTTGATTTTTCTCTCGCTGCCCCTGGATGGACTGGGGGTGGCCCCAGACTTTCCTGGTCCCTTCTGGGTCATTTAGTGCCTTTCAGTCTAAACAGTTAAATCTCTAAAAGTATTTCAGGTGTGAGCCTTCTCCCCACCTGCACAGAGGCTGCAGCAGGCAGGGGTGGGGGGTGCCTGGCGGTGAGGTCAGCTGCTCCTCCCTGAGGTCCTGCCTCACTGGGAGCCATGGTTTCCAGCCCTTCCAGGTTGGAGTAGCAGCAGGAAGAATAGCTGAAGATTGGGAGAGCTCCTGCCTGACCGGCACTGCCCTGAGCTGGCACACAAGGCTGGGTGGTCTTGGTGTTCGCCTGGCTTCTGAGGACCATGGACCTGGGGGTCTGTTTGCCTCGGTGGCCAACATGGGCGACCCATCCTCTCCAGCTGGTTCTTTGTGTTTCCTTCCTTAGCCTGGGTGTCAGATGGTCTGAAGTCTCTTCTCATGTCTCCAGGCACCCTCCTGGGAGGAGCTGAGACACCCTAGGCCAGTGCTTGGACATTGTGGCCCCCCCTGCTCCCCAGGAAACATACATCTTTGACCTGCTGGTGGGCACGTGGTCCTTCTCACTTTCAGTCCAACCTCCTTTGGATTTCTTGAGTGTAGAGAGAGCCCAGCCCCACTAGCCCATGGAGGCACGTGGCAGGCCCTCACAGGGCCATCATGAAGCCCCTCTCACTGGGCATCAGGCGAGGAGAGAGCCCCCACCCATCTCCTGGTGCAGGTGGGGGTGTGGGATGAACAGCACAGCCCTCCAACGAGGCCCTTCTCCCAGCTTCAAACATCTCTCACCTCTGACATCTTTTCAGCCTTGCCGAGGTCACCTGGGATCTCACTTTGGGACCCAGGTATAGTGGGCACATGTATAGTTGTGGGGCCTTGGCCCAAATTCAGATTGAAAAGTTTCACATTAAAAACCAGTTATAGGGCTTCCCTGGTGGCGCAGTGGTTGAGAGTCCGCCTGCCGATGCAGGGGACGCGGGTTCGTGCCCCGGTCCGGGAAGATCCCACGTGCCGCGGAGCGGCTGGGCCCGTGAGCCGTGGCCGCTGAGCCCAGTGAGAGGCCCGCGTACCGAAAAAAAAAAAAAAAAAACAACCAAAAAACTAGTTATAATGCAAGTAAACAGAACAGCTGCCATGGTCCCACCTCCTAGAATTTAGAGTCGAGTGGAGAAGATCTGCCACCAGACGCAGAGCCCCTTCCATTTCCAGCAGATTCAGCAGCAAGGAACCAATCAGCCGTCCTGCAGATAGCATCCAAAATTTAAGATAAAATATCTGAAACCTTTAAAAATATATTGATCAGCCAGCAGGAAATTAAGGAATACTCAAAGAGATCAAAAACTAAGTGCAGCTGAGAACCCAAAGAGAATGTACTAAAAACAAATTTAAAGGAGGGCTTCCCCAGTGGCGCAGTGGTTGAGCGTCCGCCTGCCGATGCAGGGGAC